CGGTTTTTGAACCAGACCTGGTGTTACGGGGTGGGGTGGGGGGGAAGGGGGTGAGTATGAGTGCCCCCCCTGCCCTGGCACCGGCTGGGGGCATTGCAAGACCTCCCTCCCCTGCATCTCACCCCCGCCCCAGACACTTTGGGACTGGCTGGGGGGGAGCAAAGCTGAGTGGGGAAACTGAGGCAGGGAGCTGTCATGCCCCTCCTCTGCATCTCACCCTGGCAGACACTTTGGGACTGGTTGGGGGGAAAGCAAAGCCGAGTGGGGAAACTGAGGCAGGGAGCTGTCATGCCCCTCCTCTGCATCTCGCCCCCCCCAGACACTTTGGGACTGGCTGGGGGGAGCAAAGCTGAGTGGGGAAACTGAGGCAGGGAGCTGTCATGCCCCTCCTCTGCATCTCGCCCCCCCCATTCACTTTGGGACTGGTTGGGGGGAAAGCAAAGCCGAGTGGGGAAACTGAGGCAGGGAGCCGTCATGCAGACAACTCAGCTGCCCCCGCCTTGGCGCCAGCCTCAGTGTGCCCACCTGCGCAGTGGGTCCCCGCCTGCCCCCGCTCCCACCTCACCTGCACCCGGGACTCGGGCAGGTTGATCTTCAGCGCCACCTCCTCCCGCATGAAGATGTCGGGGTAGCGGGTCTTGGCGAACAGCGCCTCCAGGATGTCCAGCTGCGCCCGCGTGAAGGTGGTTCTCTCCCGGCGTTGTTTCCGAGGGGTGGCTGCAGGACGCGCGGGGGGAGAACAAGGTTAGAAGCAAGGCGGCCTCCTTCCCCGGAGCCCTCCGGGGCTGCCGGACTCTCGTCCGTCTACGAGAAACCCCGACCCCCGGCCGCGATCCCCGAGCTGGTCTCGACCCCCCCGGGGGACATGGAGCGGGGAGCCTGGTCCTAAAGGTGGAGGCTGCTCCTGGGGTCTCCTGGGCTCGAGTTCGGGGGCAAACTGAGCGTTGTAGGGCAAAGCGAGGCAGGGAAAGCAGAGACAGAACGGATCGAGAATGGGAAGAATGGGAGGGGGGAAGAGACCAGCAGAGCGCGAGTGGCCCCCGCTCCATCCAGGGACAGGATCTCGAGCGGAAGAATCGTGCTGGGATTTTGCCTTATTTCCCCCCTGGTCAGACTGGTATGGACTGGGCGGGGGGGGGTTGCCTTCCACAGCTTCGGCCTGGGGTCTCTCCAGCACCTGTGACCCCCCCGGCAGCTGCAGGATTTGCCCCCTGCGCCCCCCCCTGCTTTTCCCGGGGCAGGTTTGGGTGCGGTGTCAGGGCTGAGGGTGGTTTTGCTCAGAGGGTCGATGCCGGATGTGTCCGGGCTGGTTTGGAGGGGGCCGATCCTGCCTCGGGCCGGGGGTCGGGCTGGATGTGACCTCCGGAGAGCCCGTCTGCAGGATTTTCTACAATCCCGGGAGGAACCACGTTATCCCGGGGCAAAGCACAAGCGGGCCCGTCGGCCCGGGATGAATCCTAAATAACGTTTCCTTGCTGAGGATAAGCATCCCCTGTCCCGGGATACACCCGCACAGTTCTCCTGTCAGACAATTCTGCAGTAGGTTGGGTTTGGAAACAGCCTTCACCGCTGGATCCGACACCCCCAGAGCTCCCACAGGCACCGGTTTCTCTGCCCAAAGCCTAAATCTTCCCCGCGCCGAGATGAGGTCCCGGCCGGTTCGAAGTTTCCCCGAGCTCCCCGCGGCTGCTTGGACGTGCCGCGTCTCGCTGGCGTGCTTCTCCCATGTGACGGGAACGTGGCGCACGCTCCACGGGGCCGGAGAGAAACACGCAACCAACCGGACTTCCTGAGCTGGACTGATTCAGTGCGAGCCGCCCGGTGCCCTCCCGGCGGGCGAATGCCCCAGGGAGAGGAACCAAATGTGCGGCACAGGCTGGTGTTCCTGCAACCGTCTTGTCTGGATGAGATAGCTCAGAGTTTGCAAACAAGCAGGCCTGGGGCTGCCCCGCTTGCAGCTGCTCGAATAAGAGCCCCCAAGGCAGCAGCTAATATGGAGAAGGCAGCCCCCCTCCCCGGGCACTGCTTGCCCCACGGCCTGTCCACGGGAGGAGGATGCGGGTAGGGCAGCGTGGGGGTCCCCTTGCCCCGGGTCACCGGGGACCCGAGTGAAAGGTGGGTCCCAACCGAAATATTTCGGGACTCCAACATGCTCAGTGCAGGGCAAGTGGAGGCACACACACACGTGCACGTGCACACACACACATGCAAGCACACATACACACACACGCATGCATGCACGCACCCACATGCATGCACGCACATACGCATGCATGCACACGTGCACGCGACTGGGGGAGAGCTAAATTTTAGGAACACGACGGTCTCAAACAGCTGGTTTGTACCCTGTACTTTACCATGAGAAATCATAATAATAATAATTATTATTGTTATTATTATTCCTTATGATAAAGTATAGGGCACTTTATCATTATCATCATCATTATCGATCAATTATAGAGGAATAAAATTAATTGCTATTATAACTTATCATCATCATCAATCAATTATGGAGAAGAAATAAAATCCATTATTATTATAACTGTTAATAATAGTGGTGATAATGACAGTGATACACATGCTAACGAACAGCATTATTAATATTATTATACGACAGAATATTATTCCAGTATACATATACTATTAGTCTAGTATACGTCATAGAAAAATCTTCTATTATGCATAATAGAGTATTATTCTATAGAATATTATTTTATTACGCATAATAAAATTATTAAATATAATAATTAATATAATTATACATGGTATATAATTATTGCTAATAGTAATGATAGAAATCATGCCAATATCAAGAACGCTAATAATATAAATGACGCTAATAATATCGATGACGCTACTAATAATAATAGCCATCAAGGTCGATGATGACTGACAACAGCAATATTCATAACGACCCCGATTCCAATAAATAACGACGAGCACTATAATTAGCACCATCAATGGGTTTCTATCCCCCTCTGTCTCAGCTCGTTTCCAGCTTCCCGTAACAGCCGCGTCAGGTTTCTTTGGCTGGCGATAGGGAACGCGATGCATTGCCCTCGTTAACTAGACGACCCAGCCGGGCCTGGTCTTTGTGACCCAGCCGGACCCGTTTCAGCGGCTCCGCTCTCCACTGACCGCGTTATTTCCACCCGTGATAAGAAACCTCCTGCCCGCCCCTCTCCTGTCAGCCCCGTTATCCTCTCCCCCTACTTCATGATAATGACCGGGTTCGGCCTCAGCCCCTCCGGGCTGCACGCCTGCCGTGTCACCGCAGCCAGCCCCTCGGCATCGTCCCTGCTCTAGAAAGCGTGAGCTTTGACCCGCTGCGGCACGTAGCGAGTCCATCTATCCCGGTGGTTTTCAACCGGGGGGTCCGCGGGCTCCTCCTGGGGGTCCGCAGACTATATCTAAGGGGCCCGCCAAAGATGACGAGGATCAATGACAAGCCTGTGGACACCCGCACCTAGGCTTCGGGCTTCCGCTGGTCTCTGACCCGAGAGGGGCGAGAATGCGGCTGATTCTGGTGCGCGGCAGCCAGACCCCCTTGCAACCGCGGCGACGCACATCCGGCAAGGGGGATTTCTTTCTGGCCCGAGCAAAACGATTCACTTACTTGGGTATCCGACGGCAGAATGGAGTAGATCCATGCCTGGCCCAGCCAGGGTCAACCCGTTGACGGTGTAATGGGGCTGCTTGATGTAAGACATCATGCTCGGGGGGTGGGGGCCGGTGCTAGGTGACCCCGGGCGGCTCAGAGTCCCAGGCCGGCTTCACCGCAGCCTAGGACAGAAAAGACCCAGCAGTGATGGGCATCTCCTCTAAAAGCTGCTGGGAGGTGGTTAAAGCGGAGGGGAAGGTGGGGG